AGGAGAATTGTCCAGTTGGAGGACCTGATAGTTGAGGTCTAGACTGAGTGTTTTGCAACCTGTTGCCAAAGTGTCTCAATCAAATAGGATTTTCTCAAGTCAGTTTAGAGTCAAGTGAGCATGAGCAACAAGCCAAATCAACTTTAAACAGTAACTGTGGATGTGCCTTATAATAGTAATTCTAATAGCAATACTTAAAGGGACATGTATCTTGCTCGTTTGACTGAATCAGTACCTTTAGAGCAGAGCTGTCCAACCTTGGCAACTTTTAAGACCTGTGGACTTCAGCTCCTAGAATTCCCTGGCTGGGGAATTCTGGGAGTTGAAGTCCATAAGTCTTAAAGTTGCCAAGGTTGGACACCCCTGCTTTAGAGAAAAATCATAACTATCATAACCATAAAGAATAGTCATGATGAGTAAGAACCAGCTATTAATAAAGTACTATAAATAGTTTTACCATTAGATTTTAATTTTTTGTACAAATAATAATGTTAAAGGAAAGAAGTGTTCTTTATTCTTACTGGGCCAGAATAGTTTGGCTTGGCAACAAAATTTGACGGAAAAAAACCTGCCAAGTATTTCTTTACTTGCCTCAGTTAATACAAAACCTTAGCATTTTTTTTGCGTCTAGCATTCTCCTTTGGACCTAACTTTGTGTGTGTGTTTGTGTGTGTGTGTGTGTAAGATGAAGAATTTAATGTGTGTGTTTGTGTGTGCACGTATGTGTGTATAATAAGTCAGTACTTAATTTATTGAGTTGTATTGATCCTTTTTCTAAAATATTATAGCAAATATTATAGGAAAAAATCCTGTTTAAAATGTTGATTGCTTTAATTCAAGCATTCTATATATATAGCAATTATATAATTTTTAATTATATAATTTGGGGTATAGTACATTATTTTGCCATATTATTTATTTTGAGAGTTAAAAAGAGAGTCTCAGACCTGATCTCATGATTCCACTGCTATTGGAATATCTTAAATGTTGTCCTTTCTAAGTCCTAAAGTATTTACTTCTAGGTTCTGAACTATTTTCTTACCTACCCTGTTTCCCTTAAAATAAGCCCCCCCCTGAAAATAAGCCCTCCCCAAATATATTTAAACACATGTGCAGCCGGTCCCCACCATTTCCTCTGGTTTCCTCCATGTGCCCCAAAATAATAAGACCTCCCCGAAAATAAGGCAAAGCTCTTATTTTGAGGTTCAAAAAAAATATACGACAGGGTCTTATTTTCAGGGAAACACTGTAGTACAAAGCTCACAGTAGGGCTATCTCCAATCCCACTCTGCCAATTTGCCTGGAGCTTTCTCTGAAATCATTAGAAGTTGAGCTGAAATCATCTCAAAATAAAGCTAGAAATAACACCCAGGGAGCTGGTGAATGCCAGTGATTTTTTTCTAAACATTTATTTATTGTGGTAAAATGATTGTGGTATTTCATCTTTCATCAATTATGGCATATATTAAAATAGTTACTTAATAGAATGAAAAGAAGAAACCCACTATTGACATAAGGTAAGAATATGTATGTTTTTTATTTTTTTTACATATTTTTATTTTTTCCAAAGATAAGATGAAATACAGATAAAAGAAACCAAGAATTACAGACAAGACGCAGAGAAAAGAAAATGAAAAAGTACATACAATAAATATAAAATTAACAATAAGCATATGACCTCCATCCTAGTTGAATGCTGATACCTGTATCTCACACAAATCTGATAGGTTTGATCCCTTGCATTGCAGAGCCACAAGTAGTTATACATTTTTCATCTATGCTTACCAAATTACTAATTTACGTTAAATTTCTCTTAACAAATATCTAAAGTATAAAAATCTATTGTGTATCAATCAAATCAATCCAATAGCTGTCTATTGTAAAAAAGCTGTTAACTGTTAACCCCCCAAAAGTATATTAAACTTCAAAGCCCTCTATTAATGTCCATTATTATTTTTAACTCCCAGAAACTCCACAAACGGCTTCCAGTCTCTTATAAATGTATTCAAACTGTCTCTAGTCAACACAGTTAATTTCATCATCTCTGCCAATTCAGTCAATTTCAAAATCCATTTTTCCACTGTTGATATTCCTTTTTCTTTCCAATATTTGGCGCACACAGTCCTTGCAGCTGTCACATATACAGAAATAAAGTTCCACATTGCTTTTCTGTTGATTTATCCATAATACATAGAAGAAAGGCTTCAGATTTCATTAATATTTGTGTTTTATGTAATATTTTGTGTTATAAGTACTATTATATTTATCCGACATGATTTAGCATGTTTACAAGACCACCACATGTGTAAGAGATACCAGGCTGAGTCTGAGGGAGAGGTCAAACACATCATCAGTCTTGAGTCCCTTCATGCCCAAAAGAGTCCTAAATCCAGACTACCTTGAATTCCATTGACTCTTATCTGCCACCAATTTGCTTTATCTGTTAGTAGTTCAGATTCTTGTAGAGAGTATTAGCATACAATCAATCTATATTCATTTGAACTGCCTTGACTCCTGATTTCCTGACAACAATTAAGTATAAAGGTATCTGAAGTTTGATTACATTTCCAGTATTTGTTGGAAGTTCCATTATATATTCTTGCCAATTTATTTGCAGTCAAATCCTATCAATACATTATGTTATAGAATTTTTCTTTCAAACTGTAATTCAAAGTAAACTTTAAACCACTAATTCATGTATTCTCTCATTGATCTAACTTTATATTATAACCAACATTATGACCATTTTACCATACAATCATCATTACCCTAAGTAATATTTTATAAACTTTAGAAATCAAATAGTCATCTCCAGAGCATAAAGTCTAGAATATGTATATGTATGGATTTTTTTTAAAAGCAGAGACTTTTGTACATGCACGGCTGAGTCACCTGGAATCCTCCTATATTGTAAAAATACTTTCTGTGACTTCATGGGAAATGTTGTTTCCTGTAATTGTTTTTGTCAAACTTATTTCCACTGACAGTTTCACAGATCCCACAACAGGCTGGTGTAAGAAAACCTTCTGTCTTTTCCCACACAGTCCTAGGGGAAGAGATTTTACCTCAGAGTGCAAACAGAGAGCTTTCTTCCACAATGTAGCTGCTTAGTATTTTGAAATGTGGGGGCGAAAGCTCTCATAGGACCAACATTTGTGCCTGCTTCATTAGAAAGGAATATGTATAATCCAAAAGAACATGGAGAAGGTCATGGGAAAATTATTAAACTAAATTCTAGGTTGCTAAGAAAGGCTTCATGAATAGAGGAGTAAAAATATAGTTATTAATCCATATGAAAGAGTAAAAATAAAAAAGAGCTTTCAGTACCTTGGGTGTTCTTTAGGGAAATCTCCTCTCATATATGTTCTGTGTAAGACAAAACACAGAATGAAAAACAAAAGGATCAGAAGAATGAGTGTGGGATGTCCTTGTTTTTGAAAATAAGTTGCCTTTGTAGATAAGCTTATTCTAGTTAATTTAATTCTATAAAATGAGGATTGAAATAACATCAACAGATTTTTTTTTGGTCAAAATTATTGTAATAACTACTTTCTCTTGACTTTACCATTATATAATGAAAGGACTTTGGAAATAACAATCTATATCAATCTTGATTTTTGAGTTTTTGTCCCATTATGATTTGTCAAATTACATTGAAATTTGGGTTAGTTTAAAACTGATCAATTCACACCATCCCCTCCCCTTGTACTGAGGCATCTTTTACCACTTGAGTAAGCACACAACTATTTTCTCACTACATTCAAGCTGATGCCTTCCTTCCTCCCATAGAATCCATGTTTTGTCTGGCAAAAACCAATAACAACAGAAATAAGCCCCAGAACAGTGTTTCTCAACCTTGGCAACTTTAAGATGTGAGGACTTCAATACCCAGAATTCTCCAGCCAGCTTACACCTTAAAGTTGCCAAGGTTGAGAAAACACTGCTCTGGAGACTATATCACTGATGATATCTCTTGGTTGGGCAATAAAATGTCTTCCAGAAAACAACCACGCTTAGAAAGCAGTAAGGACCCCACAGTTCAATCCTGAGTTACAAATATTTTCTTCTTTTGGTAGTACATCAGTACTTGAATATGTTAGTCATTCTATAACATCTACTGAGAAAATATTAAAAGCTGTTGTACAATGATTGCAATCTACCTTTCTTAGGCAGAGGTGGATAGAAATATGAGCAAATAAGAAGTTAATTTTATGTGCAGTAGCTTTTAAAATGAAGCATGTGATTGAAATATTTTATGACTAAACTCATGAATAATGTGAATGAAATGGAAAGGAAAATATTAACTGGTCCTGACATTAAGAAGGACTGTCCTGCAGGAAGAGACAAATATTTCTAGATAAATTAATGGAAAGAGAGAATGGAGAATTCTTACTCACAGTTAAAAAATGTTGCATATCATTATGCATAAGTTGGCAAATCAGAAGTTGCTAGAGCGTTTACTGTTTATGTGACCTACCTATGGGAAAAGGCTCTACATTTCATAATGAAATATGAATTTTATGTTATTTTGGGACAGAGGTCATATTTATACAATGGAATTTTTCCTCTAGCATATCTATTATGTTAAATTCTTAGTATTTGTATATATATATGTATGTATATATGTATATATTCACTATCCCATGTGGGAAAGATTTTAATTAAGAACAGATTTCCTGTTCTTGAGTACACCCTCACACATAAGTCTATAGCAGAATAAAGACTAACAATTCAAGCACATAACCAAATTTCTCTTTAAAGTGCTAAATCAGTACCTTTAACATATTTAAGGATTCCTGTGGTTACCTAACATAAATTTAATTGTCAAGTTAAATGAATGCTTTTTTGAGATTGTTATTTCTATTTAAATGCTTCTTTCTTGTCTCTTTACTTTGAATTCCATTCTCCTATTTTTCTTTCCCAATTTTGCAACTTGTATACCTGTTGGAGAGATTTTTTTGTTGTATTGAATTATTGTATTCTTCCATTTCATTTTTCAGATTCACCCAGCAATGCTGAAATTTCTTATACAAGCCGAAAATGAACAACTTGTCATCAGTCTGGAGAGAAATGAGTAAGTGGTTGTAATTGGTATTCCCTGCAGTATAGTAGTGCTATGGATTACTAAGTTAAAATTGATGGTTTATATTTGTAATGTATGGAGAGGTATGGCCCTTACTACTTTCTAGCTTTGAAAAAAATAGGCTGGTATAACAATGTTTCCAAAGGTTTATTTCATTATTTAAGACAAGGTGGCAATTCTGTGAGATTTTGTGCATAAACCATGTATCTCTTTTGGCATTACTTTAAGCTTGTTTTACTTTCACACTTAAATAAACCTGCTTGTTCACATTATGATAAATAATTTTAGACACATACTGCTTTGTTTTGATATTATTTCATAGTTTGAAATGAGTTAACTTTTCTAGGGACAATCATTAGTTTGCTATTCATTTTTTTGCGATTCAAAAAAACTTAAATTCTCTCTGACCTAGTAGTTGGAAGGTAGGAAAACTGAGAGAAATATAATAAATTTTACTAAATCATCTCATAATTATAGTCTTGCTTATTGCAAGAATGGCAGCATAGTGATCTTAGTCTTGTAGAATCAGTCATCAGTTCATCAAAGATTAATAAGAGAATAGCAAAAGCAGCTACTTCAGCTGACTGCTAATTCAGCAGATCAGCAGATCAAATCTCACCGGCTCAAGGTTGACTCAGCCTTCCATCCTTCCGAGGTGGGTAAAATGAGGACCCGGATTGTTAGGGGGCAATATGCTATTTAGTATACTGTCTTTGGTGTAAGCCGTCCAGAGTCCACGGAGAGTGGGCGGCATAGAAATATGACTAATAAAAAGGACTTAGTCTATATTATCATCTTTCTCTACAGTGATATGCTGATCCTGGCACAGGGACTTGGTCTATCATATCTGTTTTTCTCAGAAGGATGTACATGACAACTGACTGCGCATATACACAATTCTTCTACACAATCAGGAGCATTGCCTATTTTTAGGATAGAAAAACCAATAATTTGCTTAGGGATAAAGGAGCTGCTTACTTGGTATCAGTCTGCTACTCCCATATGTCATTACTTAATTGACTGGATGCACTGACATTTTAAAATTTATACCTTTTTATTTTTGGCATCTGAAAATATAGTTTTTCCTCTCTATTTACTCCAACTGACAGATTGTGAAATCCTTGGCTTGGTAAAACTGAAAATAAACCATATGTAATCTTTTATTTGTAAGCATTGAGTCATCCTAGACTGGGTTAAGTGATTACAAGTTACTCTTTTATAGACTCTTGGCTGAAATGGTGTGGCTGAGTAGCCATCCATCCAAGACATAGTATGGGCGAACATTTCTTCAAATTAAAAACAGAATGAGTGAGCAAGATTAAAAAGTCCTACAAAATGTGTTGGTCGAGAACTCTGCCTTTAAATGCAAGCACATAACTAGAGTGGAGCAGAATTTGACCTGTTCCTCCCTATTTACCAGGAATGACCAGGTATATGTACAGAGGATTCTTGGGCAGTTATAAACATCAAGAAAGGAAGTTGCCACAGCATAGCCAGTATATGAAACTGTCATTACATACAGTATACAACAAGAGTAGGGTGATAAGGGTCTAGCATGCAACACTAAAATAGAAAACTAATTACCTGTACAGATTCAAGACTGTTAGAAGGAAGGAAATACCGTGTTTCCCCGAAAATAAAACCCTGTCTTATATTTTTTTGAACCTCGAAATAAGTGCTTGGCCTTATTTGTGGGGAGGTCTTATTATTTTGGGACATGTGGAGCAAGACGGGGCCCTTCTTGCTGTCTTACATGATTTCCAGCTCTGTCTCCTTAACCCTAACCAGAGGAAATGGTGGGGACCGGCTGCGCATGCGGTTAAATATTTTCGGGGAGGGTTTATTTTCAGGGGGCAGCTTATTTTAGCACATGCGCTCAAAAGCGTGATTGGGCTTATTATCAGGGGATGTCTTATTTTTAGGGAAACAGGGTGGCAATAGCACTTAGACTTGCATATCCCTCCATAGTGCTTCACTATAGCTTCCTACCCTAGTAGGAGGATGAAATTGTGATTACAAATCATGTCTGTAAATTTTCCCTTTGGTCCAAGTATATAACAAGGGTGGAAGAGAGAGTTTTTAATATAAGAGATTTTTCCTTTTCTCCAGCATTTTTGTGTAGGCATAAGCTATTTCAGGAAGTGAGAGGGAAACTGACATTTTCTGCAAAAACCTGAGCACTGATATGAGCATTGGAGATAGTTTTACAATTTAAAAAACAAAGGCCAAATCCTGTGTCATTTCATACGTTTAAGGAGTTGAGCTCTTTTATTTCCCACCACAATTCCCATCCTCCCTCAGGAAGGCAAACGTGAACTGGACTTTCTGCAAAAGATTATTCTATGGTGGTTTAATAAAGGAGCAAGTCATCCAAATTGCCTCCCAATGGAATCCACTGAGATTCCTTAGTTCTGCTAGAGAGACCAATAATGTTGCCAGGGGACTGTAAGGTTGAGGTTTAACATTTAAAATTCTAGAATTTCCAGCAAACAATAACATCTCTTGGGAACAATGAACATCTGAAAATTGGCAGTGTAGCTGTCCAGCATTTGCCATTACGAACTACATTAATTTACTGTCCCCAGTTTCAGTCACTACATTTTATGAAATCTAACGTGACCTATCTACTCTCCCTTTGGTGGGGATCAAGATATATTTCTTCTTCTTTGGTTGTCTGTCTGTTCTGATACAATATTGCTTAATGCATTGTAAGCCGCCCTGAGTCTCCGGAGAAGGGCGGCATATAAATCAAACAAACAAACAAACAAACAAACAAACAAATAAATAAATAAATAAATAAATAATAAATACATAAACAAATAAATAAATAAATGGCTATCATCAAGTAGTCCCTCAGGGCTAGGCTATTTATTTTTAATATAACCAGCACCATGTTCAAGCTTCATACTATATGTAGACAGAGCTCTCAGAAGTGCTGTCTATCAATCAGCCAATCAAATGTTTCAGCAATGCCTGATTTACAAGTAGCAGTTTCATAATTTTGTACATGAAATTCTGAAGACAGAAATGGGTCTCTGGTTGATAATGCTTAAAAAGCATCCTGTGTGGGCCCTGATCTCATAGTTGACAACAGGTCAAGGAAATCTGACTTAATGGAACTATGGTGTTCCTCAGTTCCCAGAACTCCTAATTCTTCTTGCAAAGTTCATGACTATTGCTCAATATTTTCTTCCTCTAAAGTCCCTGGTGTGAGACAACATTGCACTCTATCTGTTGTTAATAAGACTACAGCCCTGACCTTGTTAGACCAGGTAAGCTATATGGTGTTTATTTCTCAGAAGGTATACACAAGATTATGCTAATAATTAAATTATTTATCTGTCTGGCATAGAAGAGATACCAAAGTTAAAATATGAACATTTTACTAAGGATACATACTTAGAAAAGAATATAGGGAAGAGTGGGAGAGGAAATATCCTAAACTTAATCTATCTGATAGCATCTCCTTAAGACAGATTTCTCAAATATCTCATTCTCAATAATATTGATTAGTGATTACAAGAATATCTCTGAAGAGTACCAGACTGGGAAAACTGCCTGGAGAGGAAGAATGAGTATAGTTCAGTTAAGCTATTATTTGAATTGTACGTCTAGGTTTTTATTGTTGTTGTTGTTTTGCAAATATAAATTGATTTAGAAAGTACTATGTTTGAATAATAGAAGAGCTAAATCAGAAGGGGGGAAAAAACCCTTTCTTCTCAGAGGTTTGCTCTCTTCAACTTGAAATAATCTTCCTCCACAGGGCCAAAATTACCTACCACAGTGCTCTGGTCCTTAAGTGCGAATCGTGCACAGAGTGTGCCTAAATATACCATATCAATTATGGTTGGTATGGCTACCAAGAGACTGTATATATAAATCAGTTTAAAAGAATAGTATTTTTTTCCTCCCAATTTATTTTTTATAATGGGAGGTTAAGCTTACTGTCATTGATAATACAACAGTGGTGTTAGACACTTATTATGATCTGATCTCTGTTTACCATGTAATCGCTCTTTTGTGAACATCATCTTATATTCAAATAATTTTCATAAGAATTATGCATAAAAATTATGTAGCTCAATAATGTGTGTGTGTGTGTACACACACACACACACACACACACATAAAGATCAATGTATGTGTGTATGTATTGTAGATACATATCAGTATTCAACTACAATTTTCCATTAAGTGGTTATTCAGTAGCATACCTAGGATTGCCCCTTGGTGAAATGCCTCTGAAAAGAAGCAGTTAAAGTGGATTCATTATTTATAAACTGATAATATATACTCTTCCATTCTCTAATGAAGCATAAGATGATGGGGTTTTGAAGAATGCATTTTTGCATAAGAAATGTAAATTGATTCTGCAAAGATTTTAAAATAAATAAGTGTGCTTGAGATGAGAATAGAATGTGAAGACAAACACCTTCGCTGATTCTGTGTTTCTTAAATCAAAACAGAGGCATTTAAAATCTGTGTTTATATTGCCTAATAGTTTTTTTTTAAAAGCATTATTTGCAAAGTATGGAAGAAAATTGCTTGCTAAATGTTACAATTTCTGTTTTAGGTAGATAATTAAATTAAAATAAACTTCTGGTAGTTATTTATACTTGGCCAAAATAGGTATAAATAGCATTCATATCACGTTACTGAAAAAAAATTAGAGAATCAATGGGCAATCTGTGATATTGTTCAATAGTGCTAGATTATAAACTCATCATCTTCCAAGTGGGTCACATTGGGGTTCATTGCATATTGCTGCTGTGGTGGATTCCAAATAAAGAGTGGCATTTCAGATTGCAACTGAGAGGAGTCTTTCACCTAAGCTAGGATGAACTGATTAACTAAATTACTTTATTACTGATTTTGAAAATATTGCTTTTAGATGAAAATATAGATTCCTTACTGCAGAATTTAGATTGTAATTACGTTTCTTCATTTTCATCTGAATCACAATGGGATTAAATAAAGAGTCTTTGGCCTTC